GAATTGATTTTAGCAATATAAGAGGAATAAGTACAAATATGAATTCAGTTCACCAACATCTTGAAGAACAAAGACCTGACATCCTTGTTCTCACTGAAACTAAAATCAGTTCTGCAACACCTATTGTGAACTATTTTTATCCCGGCTATGACCTACACCACCGATTTCGACATAATTTTGGGATCTGTGTGTACATTAAAAATGACCTTTCATGTCATCGAGAGGAGAAGCTAGAACCAGCGAACCTTGATATCATATGGCTAAAATTCACCTCAAAGTCATCGACCAAGTTTATCTGCTGCCTCTACCGACCGCCAAGTAACACCGATTACCAAAACTTTTTCGCGACATTATCCGAAAGCTGTGATAGTATACAGTCAAACTATCCACAGGCGGAAATTGTCTTTTTAGGCGATTTCAACGTCCATAATATACCCTGGCTGAAACACCACAACAAAACAGATAACGAAGGCAGAGAAGCAGAAGCTTTTGCCATAAGTTGTGGTCTAACGCAGCTTGTCGATGAACCTACCCGTATCTCAGAAAGGGGCGAATTTGCAGCGCTTTTAGACTTGTTCCTAACCACCAATCCTGACTCGTACACAATTCAAGTAGATGCTCCACTTGGTTCGTCCGATCATAAACTTATAATAACAAAGTGCGAAATGCTCATCCCACCAAGCCTACAACCACTTCCTCGTAAAATGTGGCACTATAAATCGGCAAAATGGAATGACCTAAAACAGTATTACCTGGATTTTCCATGGCAAGAGGTTTGCTTTAAAACAGCTGATCCCACTATTTGCTGTAATGAAATAACACAAGTAATCTTATCTGGAATGGACGCATATATCCCACATACAACTAAACGTAGAGCTAATGCAAAACCTTGGTTCAACAGCCAGTGTCAAACGGCTGTACAGAAAAAACACAGAGCATATAACCTTTGGAAACGACAACAAACCGCTCAAAACCACACAGAATTTATAGAAGCCAGAAATAGTTGCAAAATTACTATTGACTCCGCTAAAGAAACATACAATCAAAGAATAAAAAACAGGTTGCTGAATTGTCCAAGTAGTTCTAGGTCTTTTTGGTCTCTTGTAAAAGCTGTTGGATCTAACTTCACCAAGTCATCCATACCACCACTTACAGATAAAAATAATCACTTAGCCACAACATCAGAGGAAAAAGCCAATATGCTTGCCCAAATGTTTTCCTCCAACTCCAACCTAACAGTGCCAAACGGAAAAACTCCACCGTTCATTGAAAGGGTTTCCCATAGTATGCCAGAGGTACACTTTTGTCACAGAGAAATACGAAAATCCCTAAAAAAGCTGGATACAAACAAAGCAATGGGTCCGGATGGCATTCCCGCAATAGTACTCAAAAATTGCGCCAACGAACTCACCCCAACTTTCGCTAAATTATTCAATTTGTCTTACAGGCAAGGAGTATATCCATCATCATGGAAGTCTGCCGCAGTACAACCCATTCCAAAGAAAGGAAAAAAGACAGATCCGTTAAACTATAGACCAATTGCTCTACTTCCGGTGATATCAAAAGTAATGGAAAGAGTTGTGAACAATCACCTAACCAAGTACTTGGAAAAGTACAAAATTATCAACGATAAGCAATACGGATTTCGAAAATATAGGTCAACTGGCGATTTACTTACATACGTCACTCACTTATGGCAAAAAGCGATTGAGTTGCGGGGTGAAACAAGAACAATTGCCTTAGATATATCTAAAGCATTCGACAAAGTTTGGCATGAAAATCTGCTCAACAAGCTCAAAGCAATGGGATTATCGCCGAAACTTTGCACTTGGTTTGAAAGTTACCTAAAGGACAGATCCATTTATGTTGCAATGGATGGCCAGAACTTCAACTCTTACCAAATAAATGCTGGTGTGCCACAGGGAGCAATCCTTTCGCCAACTCTTTTCCTGATTTACATAAATGACCTCATAGATAAAACAGTAAATCCACATTATTGCTTTGCAGACGATGGCAATGTAGTCTCCTCACTCATACCACCCACAGGTCTTTCCGCACGTGAATTCCATCATCTTAGACTAACTCAAATATTGCAGATAAATAACGACCTGGAGATAATAGAGGACTGGGGTAACAAAAACCTTGTACAGTTCAACGCGCAGAAAACCCAAGCAGCTCTGTTTTCAAAAAAGACCAGCACCGGTGAGCCAAACATCATGCTATCTGGAAGTGCTGTCACATTACAGAGTCAGTTGAACATCTTGGGGGTTACTGCTGAGACCAACATGTCTTGGCACAGTCACGTGGCAGATATTGCTAAAAGGGCCTCCCAAAAGCTGGGGGTGCTATTTCGTACAAGACATCTGTACACACCAAGCCAATTGCTGACACTCTACAAAGCCCAGATTCGACCAACTATGGAGTACTGCTCACATATATGGAGTGCAGCACCCAAACATACCTTAATGCTTTTGAATACCGTGCAAAAACGAGCTATCAAGCTGATCAATGACCCCGCACTTACTCGTAACTTGGATGGTCTCGAACATCGCAGATCTGTGGGCGATTTATCTCTCTTCTACAGGTACTATCACGGAAAATGCTCTGAAGAGTTGGCACGTATGATTCCACCGAGAGTAGCACCTACCAGGCGAACCCGTCAAACAGACGGTAACCATGAATTTACTGTCAAACTAGAGGCACCAAGAACCTCATTATATCAGAATTCATATCTCTGGAGAACAGCATCGCTGTGGAATAAACTCCCTGCGACGGTTTTCCCTGCAGGTTACAACCTGAACCGTTTCAAGACCAACATACACCGACATTTCCGCGCACTTGCCGCTTCTCGAGCGTGATAGGACATTTCCTTGCGAGTGCGCATATCCGTAAAAAAAAAAAAAAAAAAAAAATCAGAATTTGAACGGCTTCAAATTCAAAAATCACATAAAACGAACAAAATACAATAAGAATACCACATCAGCAGTCCTAGATCATGTACGTAAATATACATTTTAGAGAAGGCCAATAAAATTTAAATTATTAGGGTCATAGACACACATTTCCAAAAATATCGCACGACTTTTTTGGGAGTTAAAAAGGTGGCACTATAGTTACGCTAAATACATTTCATTTATGGCCCATTAAGAAAAAGTAGCGCATGAAACAAATTAGAAAAACAATAAAAACTAACCAAATTCGGAAGAATTCTTACAAACGGTCCGCTACTAGAAAAATACTAGAAACTGGAAGCTAAATATTTGTAGGTAATGTTATGGGTGTAAAGACCTAAATACATGACTTGCAGATTGCATATACGCCACTGCAAGAAATTTTTGGCTAAAAATTTTTCAATCTCACGTAAGGGCGTAAGTAAATATACGCCTATACGTGGAAAATAAATTATATTATATTGAAGATAAGCCAAAATCTAACAATTAAATTCCAGCAAAACAGTTACGCCTATACGTTCAATAATGCTTGAGTTTATAGAACTCCTAAAAATACGTATTTTACTAGCGTAACTCAAAATTTTCAATTTTGTCAGCTACGCCACTACGTGCCGACGAAATATGTACCTACCTAAGACACCTGATCATGTCAATACTGAAATTTTAAAACCGATTCTATTCTTCCAAGCGTAATTTTTTAATTTATTTACACACCTATCGAAATACATATTCTGCAGTTTTTGAGATATTTTTTGCAAACTTTTCATAACAAGCGTTATGAGCTATTGTGAGGGAAAAGTTCCAAGCGTTTGAATAAACAGTGGATGAAAAGGTATGGAAAAGTGTGTCGTGGACGTGTCATCGTTCCAAAGAAAATCTGGGATAACAAAATTCTCGTTGTAGAGTAGCTCTTAGACTATAAAGATAATTTATAATATAAATTGTATAATATCTTTATAATACTTATAAAGAATCAAACTGATAACTTTAAAAGCAGCTAATAGTCCGGGGGATAGAACTACTTTTTGCTGTCCAAGTTTTTTTTCCGGCACAATGGTACCTAAATTGAAATAAATAATGTCTCAGGCTCTGATGAATGCAACCATTTGCACCAACCGAATGCATTATTCACTTTATAGAACCCACTACTATATTTTTTATTTAACACGTTCGCTGTCCTAACGGTAATTATTTTCGCTGGTCCCCAGACGTCCCCCGTTAGAAATTGTATACCCCATATATGGGTCGTAGCACGTTATTGTAATTTATTTATACATTCAACGTCCTACGACCCATATATTTGTCGCTACTTGATAATGATGTGACAACATTGCAGAATCCAGATTTTCTAAATGGCAACTAGTCCACACTGCATTCACATGTGAACAGGTTAGTTGTTCTCAAGAGATCTTTGTTTGAATTACTTTGTCTTCAAAAACACATCACATATTAGTTTTCGCAGGTATCAGATCTGTAAGCAGTAACTACATTATTTTTTGACGGAAAATAGTTATTTATACACCAAGTGAGTTAAATGAATGTTTATTCATGAGAAGAAAGTTAATTTTCTTCGAATGAATAAACATGTTAACTCACATATGGTTCGCAGGACTAATATGTAATTAGACTTACGACCCATATGTGTGTCGTTGGACAGTGAACGTGTACGTCTGCTCTAAAAATTGCATTATAAAATGTGAGCTCGAACAATAGGCAAACCATGCACGCAACTCATTTTTCTGACCCTGTAGGATGCGAGCTATGGTGTAATGGTGTTTCACGAGACCGAAATACGCCTACTTTGTGCCATTTCATTTGAAAAATTCTGCCGACTGCCAGTATCGACATCTAGGAGGGGACAGTGTAGCGAGAACTTTCCTGAGGCCGCTCGGCAGGCATATTTTTATTTATCATACCTACGTCAAATATTCTACGTAAAAACGTTACAATATATTTGTTACTTTCAAATATATCAGAAATGAATGCGTAGTAAGAGCTGTTCCAATTCAATTGATAAAGTTCCGTGTTAAGTAAGACAAATAAACTCACCTTGTTATGTACTGACATATTGGATCCATTATGAAACCTCACGACAGCTTGCAAGCCAGCCGGGGTAGAGACACTTTTTGTTAATCCGCTCACTTCTTCTAATGAATTCCGATTATTTGTTTTTGGCATTATACCCCCATTACTGTTTTTATATGTTGGTGTTTTGGGAGGTAAAAGTGGAGTTTCCATACTTTTGATTGTATAACTCGGTGAGGAATTCTGACTAAAGCTCTCTGTTGAAATTCCAGAGTCTTGTCTCATTGAAACTTTTCCTTGTTGGTTAGGTTTGTACATTCTATTCGGTGTGGGCGGTTTATTATTTTCTTGTTTAGTTATAGTACTAGCGCTAGATTTTTTCATAATATCCATAGCTTTAACATTATCAAATGAGAAATTTGTTTGATTAGCTTTCTGCTGTTGTGTATTTCGATTGATATCAGGTTTCTGACTTTGTGCTCCAGACTGTTCCTGTGTCGAGGGTTTCTGACTTGGTAGCAACTGGTTGAAGGGTGGAGCTCTAGTTTTAGGAGTGGGCGGTAGAGGTGGAGGCTGTGCGGATTTCTTTCGGGTATTAAGATTGAGTGGTGGACTATTCTGAATTTGAGAATTGGTAGAAGGTATATATGGTATTTGATCTGGAGGAAACGTCCTTTTGGGAACCGGAGGAGGTCGAACTGGGAGAGGGGGTGGTTGAGCTGGTATCTGAAAAACAAAATTTGGAAGTTGATAATAAGAATTCTGATAATACCTACTGTTTTGAAAATTCTTTTAAAATTTTCTTTTTTTGGAATTACGCACTTATCAATAATAAAATAAATTCGGTGGGTTTGGGTACGTTATGACGACATACAATTTTTCAACAACCAACTGGAAGTACTCGCTGGGAATTTGATTCTGCAAGAATCATTGGTTTGCCTCCTCGGTTAAGACGAATCTCTCGAAAAATGTTCAGACATGTTCCCAAATTTCTATAATAAATATTGCGTTTAATTTCGATGAAATATACGAAAAACTATCCCGATCAGTTCCCATCTAATAAAAAATTGAAGACAATAATCTCATTTCATAACAAGGTACGTGGTAGTACTATATTTGATTATACAGGGAGCCCCAGGCCCGGCACGCAATCCGGGTTCCCTCAAAACACAGCCTTTTTTTTAGTATTCTGAATTTGAAATATCTATGATTCTAAAATATAACCGATAATAAATAAGGTAGGTAGTAGACATATAATATTAGTGAGGTTTATTGAATACAGTAAAGGAGCATAGTACAAAAAATAAAATAACATTCGAATTAATTTGACATTTACCTTACATGGTGAAAATCCATATCAAATTAAAGATTAGTAGAAAAATAGGTACTTAGGACCTGCTTTTGTTACCTTACAAATTTTTCACTTTTATTTTATATGTGACTCTTTTTACACCTATCAATTACATCAAAGGTAATTTCCATTTTTTGATCAAGCTAGAGTGATTTGATTATTTCAACTAATCGAGTGGAAATAACCAGTGTTCAATCATTGTTACGCTTCGCCTATGGATATTTATTCTCACAAAATACGTATTTCTTGGCTAACATTGCAAAAATTAGGTAGATGAAAGTTGTCATGTGAGAGCCGTCATCGATAACTCTTGTTGAGTCAATTCTTCAAGGTTTTTTGTCTATTCCACATATTTTTTGATTAAAAACTAATATATGCAAGAAATAAGACAGTTGTCATAGGAACCTATCAACAAATATATGTCCATGATAGAAAAACAGAGCCTTGGCCAACAACGACTGCAATAAATATAATATATACAGTGTGACCATTAAAGTCCGCATCATATGGGAATTTTTGTTATTCCTTAGTTCTTGGTTCATGCAAATTTAGAGTTTCCAGACAGTTTTTGCTTCGAAAATAGTGCAAAATGACGTTGGAATTTTTTTTCTGTCAATCGGCTGTAACTACCTGTCAAATTTGACATATTTTCAAACAAAAAAAAAACAGAAAATTAGGTTATGTCTAAAAATTTCGGAAAATGATAAAACCTGATCTAAACGATCGAAATATGACACACTAAGTCAGCCAAAAAAGGTATTTTCATTTAAAAAAAAATAATAAAACATCATTCAGAAAAATTCCAAATAGGCACATTAATACAAAAATGCCACAAACACAAATTCTCAAATCCATTTACAACTTAAGACCTCAGTTCTTGGTAAATTAATTTGAGCAACTTTGATTTACCACTTTTTTGTTAGTTTTGGGTTCAATGTCGTCCAAAATTGGTATGTGGGTAGAAAACTAAAAAAGAAACAACTTTTTCCTTTATCATTTTTCGAAATTTTGAGAAATAATCTAATTTTCTGTATTTTGTTTGAAAATATGTCAAATTTGACAGGTACAGACGATTGATAGAAAAAAATTATCAACGTCATTTTGCACTATTTTCGAAGAAAAAGTTGGTCGGGAACTCTGAATTTGCATAAACTGCGAAATAAAAATAAAAACCCATATGATGCGGACTTTAATGGTCACACTCTGCTATGTATCTACGAATAATAATTTAATTTCAGTCTATTTGTTCAAATATTGGTCCGGCTTAACATGATGAATTATGTTGATTTGAGAAATGTCTTAATTCGTGTCTACTGTAAAATGTTGAGATAATGTGTTAAAATCAAGAGCTCCGCCTAATCTCAACATATAGGTTTTAAGATCACACATGAATATTTCACTGCTATAACTTAAGGGATATTTGATCTAAGTGGAGCTTTGAATGTGACTCTCGTAGAAACAGAAGTCACATCCAAAGCTCCACTAAGCTGAAGCATCCCATATGTTTTAGCCGTGCTGATAGCCATTAGTGCATCTGAATAGGATATATTTCCAACCTGTTTATTGAAAAAATAACAAATTAGCAATTGGATCTAATCGATAATTTAATATTTTGTAATAAGGATAATTAACCATGAGACAATAGTTATTTATTTCATTAGGCCAAGAAGTGGGTCTTTCTGTGCTGCGCTTAAAGCTTGAAGGTCGACGCGTAGCGTAGGCCTACAGTTGAGCGAAGCACAAAAAACCTTTGGGGCTGAATGGCATACATCATTTTATCTTCGAGGGATTCCACTATTTCCTTTCACAACTCAATCACTTCTTTTTTATCAATGTTCGGAAAAATAAATAGCTGCCACTATAAATTTACAGCGTGTCCAAATTTATTTACTTCAAATGTCAAATAAATAGCAGGTCACTTGGAACAAATTTTACTGCTCCGAACAATGACGTTCGTATAAGCGAGCAGAGACATCAACTTAGTAATCCATATTTATTTATGCAATGATTTAGTCCATAATATTGAACAAAAAATGTAAAACGAACAAATTAGTGCAGATTATAAATAAATGATGCTCTTGGAACTTGGTCGTTGACGCTGCCATCTATCGAGCAGAAAACGCAGAATTAATTACAAAAATATAATAGGGCTGACTGATGCTGCTGACTCTAGCGAGAAAAAAACGAACAAATTACCACAAACATAACATTTTTATGGTTCTAGGAACATAATGGAACACTTCTGTGTCAAGTGTTGAAGACGAAGTTCAAATTATAGACAGCTTGAAGATAAAGTTGCCAAGTTTATTTAATGAATATAATTCGGGTGTGATTTGTCTATCCGAATATTAAAACATTACAAGCAAAACTATTTTTGATGTAACCCAATTACGTTGTGAAAATCAGCAAAATCTTTTATATACTTTCGATCTATATCCGGTTCAAGATTTTTCCAAATTCAAATAATAACTTTTTTTTTTAAGTGCTTCGGTTTATCTCCTTGCTTATTATTATCAACATCTTGATTAGAAATGCCATCGAAATCGGTATTTGGCGGAGTTTTTGGAAATCCGAGTAGGCCATATTTTGTTACGAATCCAGCCTGAACTGAATTTAAAAAATAAGGGCAGATATGTTACTGTGAAAAACCGGAATAAGTGCATGTCAACATTTGCTGGTGAATGTCAACAAATACCATATGCGTCGATGAAGGGTCGAAAATTTGTTAATTTTACTATACGTCCGGACCATATACCAGGTGTCCCACTAAGGTCGGCCAGGTACGATATTATGGAAACCATAGACCTTACGGCTTCGGGATTTTTTTTTTACTTCACTAAATCGGCCAAGAGAAATTGATGGAAATTATTTTCAAGCTTCTAGGATGACCGCTAGGGGGCGCAATTACGATAATATAGCTAAAAATTCAACTTCTCTCAAGAAATCGCTATATTAAGATACTGTTTTAACAACGGAAATCAAAAGTTCATTAATTTTTGCGCCAGTTTGGTTATTAGGCTTTTTTTCGTATCTTCAGTAATAAGGGTGGGGAAAGCTGGTGAAAATTTTTTTTTAGAAATTGCTGTATCTTCCACACCCCTCATTCAAACTCATTCAATTTGGGTTTATTTGGAAGAGAATTTCATTGTTATTAAGAACACCACTTCGTTCGAGGTCAATAGTTCCCACCGCGTCTTCTAGAGGGCGCTGTTTATTCAAGATCCAGTTTTTTCTAATTTTCATGAAAAATCCAAATGGCATAATATTTTTTTTGTATTGCTGTGCTTAAAGAGCAAAAAAATATCTACATTTTGGCGCAAACCGCAATTCAATATCTGCATTCGTTTTCAAGTTATGTAAGGTCTATGGTCTCCATAATATCGTACCTGGCCGACCTTAGTGGGACACCCTGTATAGACCTTAGCGTATACGGGTGTCCCAAAAAGATACCGACAAACTTTAAAGGGTAGTAAGGGACATCGAAACAAGCATTTTTGTTTATATAAACATAAGTCCGCAAATGAGCCATTTGGGCTGTAGAGCAAAAAAGCTGTTTGGTACTTTTATTCTTCGCAATAATTAAATCACTGTTTGTTTACAATAATTGTTCAAAATGTTGACCATTTACTTCAATGCAAAGATTGCACCGTCGAATTCTTGACTCGCGAACCCTTTGGAATATTCCGGGAATAGCTTCTACATGGGTACAAAGGCCAGTACCCTTACTAACAGATCTTCCTCATTACGAACAGGTGTTTCGTAGACTAAACTTTTCAGTCAATGGCCCGACCGACGGTGCAATCTTTGCATTGAAGTAAATAGACAACATTTTGAACAATTATTGTAAACCATAATTTATTTGTTTATAAAGCAAAATTAATATGCAAACAGTGATTTAATTATTGCGAAGAATAAAAGTACCAGACAGTTTTTTTGCTCTACAGCCCAAATGGCTCATTTGCGGACATATGTTTACATAAACAAAAATGCTTGTTTTGATTTCCCTTACTACCCCTTAAAGTTTGTCGGTATCTTTTTGGGACACCCTGTATAATATTATAGGGTTATACATGGGAATCTTCTCTTAGAACTCGAATGCTTGGAAGACAGTCGTGCCATCCATATCTATCCCCAGCCAATCCATAATTAATTCCATAGAATTAATTATGGATTGGCAAGCTCTTTCAATTTACATGAAATCGGCATAAATATTATAAATATTTCCATTTAATAACCATCTGCTTCCGACATAAGCAGCTTCTATCCCAAAATGTGCTCCAAAAACTCTATATTGATGAACGAATCCTCTCGAAGGGCTTTTCAATTAAGCTCAATTCAGAACTAACTGCCAGGTAACGAGTTGCATTAATATGAA